TTTCTATTTGGGACTTCCTCAACAGTAAGAATGACTAACCATCTGTGATGCACCACTGACATTTTTCTGGCTCCTAAGTGCATTCTCAAGGTTAGATGTTTTTTATACCATTGGAGCATGTGATAAACAGTGTGATTCCTGCCTTTTTTTTCCCCAGCATAGTGGTTTAGTTGTGTACTTTATCACATAGTAGCTCAGTGCTTTCTGGTTTATTCTCTCTCTCTCTCTCTCTCTGGCTCTGGCTCTATCGGGCTCTTTGTCTCTCTCTCTCTCTCTGTCTGTTTTTCTGTCTCTGTCTGTCTGTCCCTTTCTTTCTCTTCCATTCAACCTAGATGACCTCACTACAGATTCACTATTGTCTACTTGCAAATTGTTATGGATTGTGCCTAAATGTACCCCCAAAGTCTCATGAAGTCATAGATTGAGCTTTTCTGAGATGACTGGATCTAGAAGATGTGATGTTGGGATTAAGTGTGTGATGCTAGTTAAGTGTGTAAAGCTGTAATTATGGGTGCATGTTTACTAAATTAGCCCACTGACTTGTTTGCCATAGTTCTAGATGTGGGTAATGGGGAGATCCAATATGGTTCTGGGTGGCACCAACAAAAAGTGAGTAACCTGCAAAGGATAATAGGGAGAGTCATCTGATTTGCTGCTTGCTGATGCTGCACTGCTACAGGCCTACAAAATTGACCAAAGAATACAAGCATTTAATTGCTTTTGTACCTTAGTTGCTATCAACTCAGCCTGTCCTCTGTCTCCACCTGTTGCTTATGGGGTGGGGATGTTGATTTCCAGCCGCACTCTAGTAGGTTCATGGGAGGTGCTATCTTCCGAGGCTCTGCATGACTTGCACAGATTACCAGAAAGGCTGGCTAATTGGCTTCTTGATGGTCTGCTTCCAGTGTCACTAGCATGGCTGATTCTTGGGAGGCCTATCTTTTATTTCTACCTTTTAGCATGGAAATTTAACTTGTGTCATATGTTGTGAGTGTTTAAATTTTTTTTCATTGGTGCAAGAGTTTGCAACTAAGAATTTGATGTAAATCTCAGAAGAGACTTTAAAGTTGGACTTTCTAGCAATACTGAAGCTGTTGGGATGTTGTAAACTCATAGCAATGGACTAAATGCATTTTTCAGAAGGAGATGTGTATGTGTATTTTGGAGCCCAGGAGTGAAATGATATGGTTTGTATCCAGATGATCCCCTAAAACCTCATGTATTTATAGGTGAGACTTTTGGCTAGATTTAGGTGTGTGAATACGGATTAAGTGTGTGGGATTACTAAATTAGCTCACTGATAGTTTTAGCATATCTTTAGGTATGAATACTGCATGTGGGAGGTGGATGCTGAGTGTGAGGGGCACCACCAATAAGGTTTTAGCTTGCATGGAATACAAGGTGAAAAGAAAGAAAGTGGGATTATGCCCTGTTTCCTTCCTGTCCTGAAATGTACTGCAAGGCATTGCTCATTTGTCATGTTAACTTATTAGAAATGTTTGTCCATCTTGCAGAACACTCCTGGAACAAGCTACTTGCAAGGTTTTACTTCATTGTACAAAACTAGTCTTGTGGCCTTGTCAATATCAGTAGACTCATCAACATGGAATTTTTCCATAGTGACTCATTAATCCCTATAATACTTTTCCAATGTCTTCTGTTGTTTTACCACAGACTACTTTGGATGCTGGACTTTGATATGCAGGAATTAATGATGAATTTGAGACTTGCTTTCGTTCTATTGTTTTCTATCCCTCTATCTAGAATAGGAATATCTATCTCGTATTATTGTATTTTGGAAGTATTTAATTTTCTTTTCATTTTTAGAGGGGATTGCAGCTTAAACTTTGCCTTCAATTTCAGAGAACACGTTACACTTGGAATTTTTAGCAATGCTGAAATTGTTAGAATGCTGGAAACTTGGAGGTGGACCGAACACCTTTTATATAAATGGATGTGTATGAGTCTTTGAAAGGAGCAAGGGGCAGAATGTTCCAACCTGTGTCTAGATGTGCCCTCAAAAATTCATAAGTGTGGCTTTCCAATGGTTGCTGTATGTAAAGTGTGTGATGCTGTGATTAATGTTGTGTGATAGTAAATGAGTGCACTGATTTTTTTGGTGTCATTCTGGGTGTGAATAATTTGAAATGCCAAGCTGTGTGTGAGTGTTGCCATGTAAAGAGTGTTTAAGCTTCATAGACTATAAGGGTTAGAAAGAGGCTTAACGTTGACATTTGCTGCTTTGCTGTTTTCTGACCACCATTGACTCTGTCTTATGCAATGCTCCTCTTCCATGCCCCCCTGTCCTGGAACCAGTCAAGTATCAGGTGAAACCTCTGCAACCTGAGCACTGTAATAAACCTTTCATCTTTTAACTTTTGGTGCTGTGTTGTCACAGGTGCAAAAACTAAGACAAACATAATCTTGTATTACTTGAAAAATAGTCATATATGTGTCTTACAATTCCATATTTCCATGTACTTCATTCCCATCCTTTTCTCATCACATTTTAATTCTGTGTTATAATCTCACACAGAGCATTGTATTTTAAATATTTTAATAACTTAACTTCATTTAATGTATGTATATACATACAATGATTTGTAAAAGAGCTTTTTCTATTTGCTTAGATAATAACCATTCCTTTTTACTAATCATTTTGAAAGAGATCACTTCATCTATCTAGTACAATTGTCCTTAAATATTTTACCGTTTCTTGAAGTGATATTCTGCAAACATAACATGTCAGTTTTTTATAGTAATATCTTCATTTTTCTATCATGTTTGAAGTGTCTCTTCTGTCACAAAAGTGATTTTAGATATTTGTGCTTTTGGATTACTTTTTCATGCAAACATTTACTGTCTACTGTTTTCATTGTTTAGGAAACTGATGTTAACATTAGTTACTCATCCATATTAAAATGTTTATATTTTTATGACTACTTAAAAATCTACTGTTTATCTGTAGGACTCATTATAGTTCTTGTAATTATGATTTTCTTGGCTTTGTCCAATTTCATACAGCTGTTATGAGGTTTTTAAACAAATTAAGGAAAATTTTAGTCTTTATTTTTTGAACTATTTCTGATGTGTTCCTCTCTCCTTCCTCTTTAAAGCCCCAAATACACATATATTAATGTGTAATACTGAGCCACATATCTTAAGTTCGCTCTCCTTTTATACTTTTATGCTTTTTTTGTTTGTTTGTTTTGCATGGGTGCTTTGAACTGAACAGTTTTTGTGTTTGCTAACCTTTTACATTCTACTTTCTGTTTAATAATACCAATAATTGGGCTACCTATATTTCTATTCTTATTGTTTCCTGTTGTGAGTATGAGCCAAATTATTTTTTTCTTTTGAGCCTCATAAGTTCTAGAAACTAGATATTGCATATAAGAACAATGACTGAAAAAACTCCCTTCAGATTACTGTGTCTTCTATAAAGCTGATATCAAAACATTGGAATTGAGGGCTCATAATTCTAATCTATAGTTGAACTGGATCTAGATTTTGTCACAGCTTGAGTTCAATGTACATCTGACTTCTAATACTTTTGGTTGTAGGGTTAGATCTTTATCAGCAGGAGCAATAATGGACTTCTAAATGATCATTATGTTTTAGGGACATTTGCTAGGTTTTCAAACTCTGGGAAATTCTGATTTACAGTTCTCTGGTAGGAGGGTCAGTGGGTAAGTTCCCTTCCTCTTCAATCACGCCTGTGCCATGAGAGCATTGGGATAATGCTCTCTGATCTTGTGCCCTTCTACTTTGGACAGTAGCTGCCTTACTTTGTACAAAAGCCTGAAGCTTATCAGATGGATATATCTCATCCTGGTACAGAAAAACTTTTTGCTCTCAATCTTGAGGTACTGTCATTGAACACATGGTGAAGTCAAAAAATGAATTAGAAAATGGAGAAAATCTTTGTGGCTGGAGTTGCTCAGAATTGTACTGAATCAAGCGGGCCTCCACACATTCCTTCAAATTAAAAGACCCAATGAAAATTGGGTAACAGATACCCACAACTAATATAATCATTGTGCATTGAAAATATGCTCTAAGAAAATGTATAAAAATCTACTGTTTATATGTCTTTATTGTTCTCCATAGGAATTTCTTTCTGGATACTTTATAACAATTGACAATACTTAGGAGAGGGAATATTCTGTTACTTCTAAATAGTTTGCAACTTACTGGATTTCATTTCATCTTTATTCTTGGCACTCTCAACAATATAGTGAGTTCAAAGAAAGCAAAAAGAAAAGGCAAACAAGTAGACATAAATCTGATTTTGCAGAGAGGTTTGTCACCCTGTGGTTTTCTCTGCTTAGGAATGACACTGCAAACAATTCAGCAAGACGGTCTACCTACAGATCTTCTCAGTTTTTATTTTGCTTTTACCGGTATTAATCCTAAGTACCAAATAATGCATGAGATCAGATCAAATTAGAAAGCTTCTGCTCAGGAAAGGAAATGGTGCTCAGAGTGAAGAGATGGTCTACAGAAGTTGAAAAAATTTTAACAGCTACCCCTCAAATAGAAGACTAACATTTAGAAAATATAAATTCTTTGAAAGATTGAATAAATAGACAAAACCTTAGTCAAATGTATCATATGATTATCACTGGAGTCAGATGTTCCAGATAGACAGGTGCACAGTAATGCACAATGTTTTCAATTCCACCTCTCAACCACATCTGTTTTTTTCAGCCCCACATAACAGATTTTTCAATTGTACTTGATATATTAACATGATTCTGGCACATTTGAACTGCTATTTTCTCAATCCAGGTTGATTATTAACGAACCTCAATGACTTGTTTTCTGCTCCATAAGAATTTGAAGGCAGTGAGGCATCTTCACTAGTAAGATGACAGCTGTTTACTTGCTAACTCAACAGAAGGATAGAACTGTATCTTAAGAGCTCTTCTTCGAAAAATTCACAGTTCATTCACTCATCACTATCTATTGTATTACTCCTTTTATCCCCCTATTTTCAGGTTTTATTGAAGAGATTCCTGAAGACTCATTCAAGGAGCCACATTGCAAAATGGTCCAGCTGACAGCCACTCCTCAGAGTGCACTTGTGGATGAGCCCGTGCACGTCCGTGTCACCGGCCTAAGACCTTTCCAGGTGGTGTGTCTTCAGGCATCCTTGCAAGATGAAAAGCAGAATCTGTTCCATTCTGAGGCCTATTACAAGGCCAATGAAGCTGGTGAGGTAGATTTGGAGCGTGATCCTGCACTTGGAGGTGACTATGTGGGAGTCCACCCCATGGGGCTCTTCTGGTCCTTGAAACCTGAAAAACTGTTAACAAGATTGATGAAAAGAGACGTGAATATCCCATTCCAGGTCCAATTAAAACTTTGTGAGCCATATTTTCCAGTAAAATATTTACCTGCCAGTGCTCTGATGGCCACCCTGACTGTGGAAAGGTGGTATGTGGCACCTGGTGTCACTCGGATCCCGGTGAGGGAAGGCCGCCTCCGGGGAGCCCTCTTTCTTCCTCCAGGTGAGTAGAGTGACTCCGTTTACTGTTACCCTGTGTTTTTCTCTTTTAAATGACTCATTCCTCTAGAAATTTTTCTTGAATGTGCCTAATACATATTGTCAACTTTCCATTCTTAAAATAAATGTTCATGTTGGATCATAACCAGCACATAGTAATATTTTCTCTGTAAGTCAAGTTTTACCTCAACAGTTCTGGATCTTGTCTAACAGTAGGACTACACATAATCAGTAATGGAATTCCTATGTCCCTTAATCTCAAAACTTTGGACTTGTGTTAAGTCTATTTGCAACAAACTCAAGCTCGTTTAGGATTCAAATCTTGATATCATAAAAGCCATATGCAAGCTCTTTCTGGAAGCTCTCTGGTTTTAGTTTAAACATATGGTATGGTGTTGTTCTTCCAACATGCTAGTGATACAGTGAAGTAAAAGTTTTCAGCAAATATAGAGGATGCACAGAAACTATTATCCCTTTAGTTTAAAAAATGCTGCCTATTTATTGGGTATTTCACAAATTAGAAAATACAGAGCACTCCCTAATGTTTACGAAATTTACCAGCACATTCATAGTTTTCCACGGTGATTTCTGCATCCCAGGAGTGCTTAGCAACATCTATTGGTCAAAGTTTTTTTTATGCAACTAAAGGAACTAAAAGTAACCTCCCAGAAAAATTTAGAAGGCCCAGATTTCATATCTTAGAGTCCCTTCTTTAAATAAATGCTTTTTTCCTAGAAGAGAGCCATTGCCTCATCTATTTGTGGTGCCTTGTTTATTTACTTAAATTGTAGAATAGCATTGAGTGAGGAACTTTGAAATGTTAGGGGTCTGTTCTAGTCGTGGAGGGTTATAAATGCCAAACAACAAATAATAGCCTCCTTTTTGAAAGTTACCATGATTCATGCACTTGTTTTGACAAATTTGAACTTTTAGTAACAAGTAGTTAGTACATTTACACACTTCATTTATGTAGGAACAGAATATAGGTAGCATAGACACAGATACCTCTCATTCTAAAAGTGTGACTTGTTGCCAGGCTTTCACCTTGGCATAATATTTGGTTCAGAGTATGAAATTTGTGAACTCTCAAAGACATTGCACTCACAGGGTCTCTGCTTTAAGTATTTGTTCAGATACACAAACCAGAATAAACATTTTTCAACTCTAACATTCTTTCTAGATACGGGGAAACTGACCTTCAGGTGTTCTCCCTTTCTCTGCCAATAAGAAAAAGGATGCAAAACATCCTAATTCATTTATTTGAGTAACATTTTTGACTGAGATATAGTAGGTGTCACTTTTATTTTCTTTTCATTCCTTTTCTCAAGGTCAGTATAGCTTTTACATTTTTCCTTTGCTAACGCATTTCTTTGTGCTGTTGCTAAATTTCTATTATGTTTTCTTTACCGTTCCTTCATACACAGCTTCATTTTGTATTGTCCTTTTTCAGGAGAGGGCCGTTTCCCAGGGGTACTTGATTTGTTTGGTGGGGCTGGTGGCCTACTTGAATTCCGGGCCAGTCTGCTGGCCAGTCACAGCTTTGCTTCCTTGGCCTTGGCTTATTTTGGCTACGATGACTTGCCTGCTTATCTTGAAAAAGTGGATTTAGACTATTTTGAGGAGGCTGCTGACTTTCTCCTGAGACATCCTAAGGTAATTTTTGTGTCTAAGTTCACTTTGTCTCTGGTTCTTAAATAGTTCTACCACATGCTCACATTATTCATGTGGTGTATTTGTCATCTAACGTCTTTTGTTCAGAAAAACAAAATACATATTCCTGTGTTCCTCTTGATACCAAAGACAGATGTTTAGAATTCGTCCAAAAATGAGAACTTTTGCTCTTTTTATGTAATGTGGGTAAGGGAATTATATTCTCTTATCCTCAGTGTTTTCTATAGTATAAATAATATATGTTTACTATTTCTTAAGTTATTGGTGAGTTTTTAAGAGAATTGCACTTGCACAATGCTTATTTAGAAATTGATCATACTATTCACTCAAAAAATTAAGCAATTATTATTATCATCACCATCTCATCACTGTCCCACCTTTAACAAATACTAAATATTTATTTGAAGAACTAGTTACTTAAGTCAGTTTAAATATAATACTCTAATATTTTACAAACCACACTTAAAAATATGTGCTTTTCAGTTTATATCAGGATTGGTGCTTAGTATCTTTTCATTTTCTCTTCTTTTTTTTTCTCATAAGAACTGAAAGAAAATAAAGTCTAGGTAGTGAAAAATGTTCCTTTATGCCTTCCCTAAATTTGTCAGTATTATAGTAAAATGAGGAAAAATTACTTGCAATATTCTGATATAGTAAAACTTTAAATGGCTCTCTGTGATGCTTGTAATGAAATTGTCCATTAACTGTCAAATAATAAATGTTACAATTATGCCCCCCCCTTTGTTTGCCTTGGATGAAAGAAATGAGAGGTTGTGTGATTCTGCGTTTTTATTTCTTTAGTCTTGTGTCCCTTATACTTTTTAGCATGCAAGCTGCATCCCTATGCAACAATTTCACATAACTGTTCATGACCAACCAGATTTCTTTCCAAAGTGCTGTGAGTACTTCTATCCTTGCTCCCCAGGGCCTCTTAAAGCATGATGCACTAAAGATTTTTCAGTTCCTCTTAGGTCTTCTTTTTCTACCCATTGATTTTAAGCAACTTCTATTAATTAAGAATTCCTTTATCACATATTTGATAGCAGAAATCGAGACAAAGTTTATTTTTCCTCCAAAGATCTGAAATAAATTAGAGCGGTGTACAGTGATGCACACCTGTAATCACCGCACTTGCAAGGCTGAGGCAGGAGAATCACAAGGAGTTTGAGGCCAATCTGTGCTGTGTAAGTGGCTTCAAGCATGGTCTGCACTACATACAAGACTGTGTGTCAAACAAAAAAATCTGCACTGAGTCATCTATTTTGATTACTTATGCTATACATGCTTTTGCTTTATTTTCCATGGCCAATTGCATTGAGTTTCCATGTCTCTTTGCTATACCTGTATCTTTCCTGTCAAGACAGAATTTAGGGACAGGAGTGAAGTTGGAAAAGCGAAATGTTAGCCAAAGAATATAAATTTTCATAAAACAGAGAGAATAATTTCTTTTTATCTATCATGTTAGTGGTTGATATGGTTAATAATATAATAATGCTTTGTGTATTTCAAAATTACCAACGGAGTAGATTTCAAATGGTTTTATCACATGGCAAATTATGAATACATAATGATAAAATATATTTACTAGCTTATTTGGCTCACTCTAAAATGTATACTTGCAAATCTATTCCAAAATTTATTCACACAAATATCCCATTACACTGTGTTAGTATATAAAATTATAAATGTCAATTAAAAGTATGACTTAGGAAAAATTCAGATATTTTAATTGATACAGATAATCCATTTTAACATTTAGTGAGGGAAATATCATACATGACTCATTCTGTTTGTCAAGGTTTTTAATTTCCTTATCCAGTTTCTCACATTTCTGTCCACTTGGTGCAAGTGGTATGTTCAATCATTTATCTCTAAATACCATGAAAATAACCCGTATTCATTTGTTGATAAAATAACTTGTAAATAAAGAAGATAAATTTTAAAAAGTATGTGAGGACAGTAAAGATGTTAGAAAAAAATCAAGCCTGTGTCTTCGCAACCCCAGGACCAAACATGATCATTCTTTTTGGAGGGAGATACCGGGACTCAAACACAGGACCTCACATCTGGCAGGCATGTGCTGCACCACTGCACTAAATTCCCAGCCTGAAAGAATCATTCTTAACTATATTTTCTGCCATAAACAATAATCATCACCATCTTCTCCTTCCCTCTCTCAAACCTATCTAGTGGCTGAGAAATGTATATTCTATACTCATAAACAAAATCATGTTGTTTCCTTTTGTTTACTTGATGTATGCTCCCTTCTGTCAGGACTCCAACATTTTTGGCCTATTCTGCTGCTTTAAGCTCTGGCATTCTGTTTCCATTTTCTCAAAGAAGTGTTGTGCAGTTGGTTTTATCAGGACATAACTGTTTTCTCACGTGTGTAGGATCTTCTCTTTTGTTAGAGTGTAAAAGTGCTAGCCTATTAGATAAAATATATTATGGTTTGACTTCTATATACTTCTTCAATGTTATTTATTTTTACCATCTTTCAATTCTGCCTTAATGCTGCCTTTTAGGAAGTCAATAGTTGCTTGGAACATATCTCAAAAATGTTTATTGTCATGCTGGTATTATCTTGTCCACCTCGTTTTGATGCTATCCATTTATCCTCCAAATTTGCTGCCTGAGGTTTTGCACATGTTCTTAGCATGGTGAGTCTATAGGTATGTACTAGAGCTACATTTCCAGGACCATATCTTATAGTGGTTCAAACAACACGAACATAAGGCATTTAATGACTTGTAACAAGTATGAAAACTGGTCGCTCAGGCTTTGGTTCAGATAATTAGTGATGTATCTCTCCAAGGAGACTGGATGACATTTTTATAACTTTCTGGACTTACACTCTAGGTCACCGGGTGCCTATGGTCATTTCAGGCTGTAAGTCAACAGGGCAGCACTCTAAACTAGAAAGAATAGTGAGGAACACAGGCTTTCATTATATGATTCTGTGTAATTTTGTACGAGGAAAGAAGAAATGTATTGGTAGATAATAATGACCACTAGGGGAGCCTGAAAAAGTATGATTTTAGGGCAATAGTTACAATAGATCAAGGTCATTTTAGGCTCAAAATTTTGGTGGATGAATCTTGTGTAACCATTTAGCAGAGTCTGCTAAATTCACCACAGAACATTACCCGCCGTTGTTAGCAGCCACTTTTTATATCAAGGCTCATTTCATAGCCATTTTCTCTGACAGATTTTCTTTGCTTGATTCCTTGCCTGTGTGCATTGCTTAGTTTTATCTGCATGCTTTCTTGTATTACAGAACTCATAATACACGAATCATCTTGATTTTGTTACTGTTTTTTTCACATGTTTTCCCAACTGACAGAGAATTCCTTTATATGAAGGAATTGGGACTTCCCTCCCTGAGTTTCGCAGTTCTTTAAACACAATGGATGATTTAAAAATGTTTATTAATGTCTGAGAATAAAAGAAAAAGCTAGGGGTCAGGATTTAGCTCAGAGGCATAAGTGCCTGCCTGGCAAGCATGAGGTCAGAAGTTTGATTCCCAGTACGAGAATAACAAAAACCACAAGCACCTGCAATGTAAGAAAAGGCTTAATGTATTAGGCGTCCTTTGAAAGTCTCCTTTTGAAAGAAAAGAAGGTGTAGGACCTTTGTTCAAGTTACTTGGATATCCTGCTTTCACCATTCTCACTCCCTTCTGAATTTGTAGACAGAATTGATACAATAAAGTTTATTAAGCTATTATTTGACGTCTGTATTCCTTACAATAATACATACATATTGCTGATTATATCATAACATTTTGTCAGGGCATTTGACACTGAAAAAACCAATCACATCACTTAATCCAAGTTACTTAGTTAGAAAAACCTGATACGTTTTCACAAGAGTATTTCCTTTGAATACACAATTTGTATTGCAGTACTCTACACAGAGATATAAGAGCACAGTGGGGGGAGGTTTCACTTGCTTTCTTTATTCAATAATTGAAGTTCTTCAACTGGGGAAATTGTGTGTTTCTTTTAGATGAAAGAATAACATTTTCTTTCCATTGTTTTCAGGTTTTAGGCCCAGGCATTGGGATAGTCTCCGTATGTAAAGGAGCAGAGATTGGATTGTCTTTGGCCATTCAACTAAAACAAATCACAGCAACAGTGCTTATTAATGGGCCTAACTTCATTATTAGTGTTCCACACATATATCGTGGTCAGATCATTGAGCCTGCACATGTCTCAGTTGAGTATGAATCCATTAATGTCTTTGGATTCGCAGAGTTTTATCAGGTTTATACAAAATGTGAAACTGGAATTAGCCAGTTTTTCCTTCCTATTGAAAAGGCCCAGGGACATTTCCTCTTCATTGTGGGAGAAGAAGATAAGAATCTCAATAGCAAAGTACACGCTGCAGAAGCCATTGAACAGCTGAAGAGGAATGGGAAGAACAACTGGACCCTACTGTCTTACCCAGGGGCCGGCCACCTGATAGAACCCCCCTATTCTCCAATGTGTCGCGCTTCTAGGATCCCTTTGATCGTGCCACCCATTCACTGGGGAGGAGAACTTATCCCACACGCAGCTGCACAAGAACATGCTTGGAAGGAAATCCAGAAATTTCTGAAGAAATACCTCACTCCAGGGTTGAATAGTCAACTATGAGAAACTGGGTATAGTTAGGAAGGAGAAAGTAAATCTGTTTCCAGCACCTTCTCTTAATTTTCCTGAAAGAATAGCTATACTGTTGTTGTAAGAAGGAAGTTATTATAGCAAAATAATGATAGTTGAGAAATCTAATGCTTTGATTTGTGAAAAACAACAGTTGTTTCCATTTAATGAAATTTCACTGAGAGTCCTATAATACAGAATGAACACACAGTTATACTTGTCCTAAAATTTTCAACATCATAACAGTTTTCAATCGTAGTATTACAGACAGCTAAGTTAGGCAGAAATATTATAGGCAGTCAGATAAGTCTAGGTCCTAGAGAGAACCAGGACAAAGGTGAAAATGCACCACAGCTGAGCCCAGAGATGTATCAGTTGGAGGCCAGGCTGTAAGACAACAACAAAAGAACCAGCCTACCTATCTCTCAAAGAATTAGAGAAGTGTTAACACTTGGTCTAATTAGGTGAAGATAGGTATCAAGATCCTATCTTGGCAATCAAGATCCTAGGATCCATTACCTACCTAAGAGGTTCTTTGTTCTTTCTGTGTCTGCTGCCTGTGTGATCTGCTTCCCCACTGAATCAGTGTTACCCCAGAAGCTATACTTATAATCTTATTAGTTGATCTTAGCTGTAACTCATGTTGTACCTATGTGATTGAGCTTCATAAAATATTCCCTAAGAAGTGGGGTCTTTAAAAATTGGCCAACTCAATTTTTGATGTCCCCTCTTGTCACTCTCAGACAAGAGGTTTCTATCCCTTAATAAATATTTCCTACTATTAACCACCATTATTTATAGAATTCATTCTTTAATTTTAGAGAGCACGAACTTGCCAATATCAGACGCCTAACATATTGGGGGTTATAATATTTCCTTTATATAATATTCGGAGTTTCTGATAACATTCCTATGTCACAAGCAATTATAGGAGGAAAATGTAACCATAGAGAGTCATGGAATTGCACACAGACCACTGTTAATTTCCTAAAATTTAAATTGAATAAATGTAGATCTCTAATGTTTGAAACACGCTTATAGTCATGGTTGTTTTATTGGTCTTCGAAAGACAGTTCTGGGTAAAATTGTTCTATCATGGCCCATATGTCAGTAGGTTCCTGTGGCAGAATGAGAGGGCATGTCCTCACAATTTCTTGACTTTTGAATGGGAACAATGGCTTCCACTTAAAAAAAAGCATGCATGAGTATCCTGTGAAGTAGAAATAAGTATAGATTTTAACTTCCGTAACATTGTGGTAGCAATTTTTAAGCATGCAACTTTGTAGAAATAAAACTAATAAAAATGAATCACAGAAATATCAGATGCTGACATTATGGACTCCCTAAATTTCAAATTAAACACACTGAGCTTTTTTTTTTTTTTATTTGAACCTATATTCGTATCTTATAGTTGCTTCGGTATTTTGGGTAAAGTGGATAGTTCAAGAATATATTATATTAAATAGTACGTAAGTTTACACTAGTTAAGATTTTCTAGAGAACAAAGTCAATAGAAAAAGTGTATTAGTACAGCAAAAATAAGATTTACTGGTGACACAGGAATCCATGAGTAGCAGTCAGAGAAGTGGATGTAACTCTTTATTATGCCAGTGGACCCAAAGGGGTTCCCTACTGCAAAATCTGAGGCCTGAGTATGGATCAGGAGAGTTATTTTGATTTTGTGGCATGACAGGGTAAGCTAAACAATGACAGTGAATTAAAAGTAAAAGGTTGACAATTCTGAATGGCGATTTGGCGTCAGCCAACAGAAAAGTCAGGTGACAGGCAACCATGAAGTAGCTCTATAGGAAGGGAAGGAGTTCAGCAAGTGGGCGGTGAGATAGCAGGAGGCTGTGGGACAACTTGTGTGGGAAAGTGACGATGCAGCAAGATGCAGAAACTTCTGTAATCTTGTGGCTAAAAGACAGAACAGAGTAAGAGGATAACTCTCCAATGGGTGGGAGTCTGGGGTGAGACCTTTGACATTAGAGGGGGTGCCAGGGTGGTCTATTTTTCTGTCTCAGTATCATGTAAATTATAATTATTAACTTGCTCTTGCACTTGGAGATTAAGTGTAATTTATGGAGAAATGTCTGGTTGGCAAGCTGACCACGGGTGGATCATGACAATTAATCCTTTCCCCACACTAGCAACATCCTGATGTGATAAGCAAACAGCTCCTCACCAAGTCCTGTCATCTTACTCCATAGCTGGCCATGGTCATCAGATGTGAAAACTGTGACCTTTGAGTAACTGCCTTAGTTCTATTCTGTACCTTAACCTTCTTCCCTTTTTCTTCCAAGAGACCATATATGGCCCAAATATCCTATCCTCAGGGCTCACAATTTGGAATGCTTCACTCCTCTGGGCAAGCTCGTTAGTAAAACTTGGTTCCTTCAACTTCTTCAAAGTGCTACTCATGCTTCTTGCATCATTGCTAACTTGGACTTTGATACAACACTACAACTATCTCTTGTGTAACAATGGAAACACTTATTCTCTTCCCAGGAGGCAAGAGAGAGTTTTGTTCTGGGTCATACGTACTCTTCGCCCATAATTTAAATATTATAGGTCATAATTTAAATATTATAATGTAAAAGTAACAGTACATAAGTACTGCCATTAAGTTGATCAAAGTCACAATCCAAAGCAAAAAATAGAGGAGTCTGAATCCAGTCCTGGGCCCCGAATGTGTGTGATTTGATTCCCAGACAATGGGGGAAGCTTTGCAATGTCACTGAAAGTCAGTTGGACCTCACCCAGAGTTCCAAATCACCGGAGGACACATGGAAGGTGCCCATAGGCCTAACTGGGCCATGTTCAGCAATGCCCAAGTGGCTAGCACAGGCCTTAATCCAGTCCCAGGAGCTGAACGTACATGAGTTGACTCCCAGTGCATGGGGGGAACCTTGGGAACTTTGCTCCCAGCTGTGGTAAGACCACAGGCCAGTGTCCCAAATCACCAGAGGATGAATAGGATTTCCCTGTGGGCCTAAATGGGCCACTCCCAATGACCCTAAGGGCTATAAGGGGCCTGAATGCAGTCTCAGGAACCAAAAGTGGGCCAGGTGATTCCTAATACTTGGAGGAAGCTTTGGAATGTTGTTCAAATGCCAGTAATATAGGAAAATGACCAAATGAAAAAGCAAAATGCAATCTCAAACTGCCAGCCCAACCTTAGCAAGCCTAGGAGAGAGGTACATAGAAGAAAATATTAGCCATATACCTGAAATTCCTGAAATGGCCTCAATTCACCAATTAAAAGAAACAGACTGGCCAAGTGGATCAAGAAACAACATCCAATCATATTTTGTATACAGGAAACTCATTTAATCCAAAAGGATACTCATAGACTGAAAGTCAAATGATGGAAAACAATACTCCATGCAACAAGATCCCCCCAAAAGCAGGGTTAGCTATTCTGTTTGCAGACAATGTGAACTTCAAACCAAGAATGATCCAAAGAGATAAAGAAGGCCACTACATACTAGGTACAGGAAAACTTCAAGAGGAAGAGATAGCAATCTTTAATATATATGTATCAAATTACAGAGCACCCACTATACAAAACAAATATTAACAGAAATTAAAAATCAAATAAGCAATAACACAAGTAAAACAGGAAACTTAACACACCATTGACACAAAGGGACAGATCAACTAGACAGAAAACCAGCAAAGAAATAACAGAACTGCATCACACCTGCGAAGAAATGGACTTGGTGGATGTATACAGAATGTTTCACCCAACATCAGAATATACATTTTTCTCAGCAGCACATGGAATATTCTCTAAAACAGACCATATACTAGCTCACAGAACATGCTTAAGCAATTCCATAGAATTGAAATTATCCTATGTATGTTATCAGATCATAGCACCATGAAACTAGAAAGTAATGACAAAGAAACTGCAAAAACCCCACAAACACACGGAAATTCAATAATACACTCCTGAGGAATGGGTCACAGAAGAAATTAAACAATATCTAGAAGCAAATGAAAATACAAATATGTCTTACTGGAACCTGTGGGATGCAATGAAAATACTCCTCAGACAAAAATTTATTGTGGTAAATTCCCACATCAGAGAAACAGAACAAACACAAATAAACAACCTTATGTTACATCTTAAACATCAAGAAAAAGAACAAGTCAATCCCAAAGCAAACATTAGGAGAAAAGTGTAAAGATCAGCACAGAAGTCAGTGCAATAGAGACTAAGAAAACAATACAAAGAATCAGTGAATGGAAGAGTTGGTTCTTTGAAAGAATGAATAAAGTTGATAAGCCCCTAGCCAACCTTATTTTAAAAAGAAAAGTAAAAACTCAAATTCATGCAATAAGGAATGAAAACGGTGAAATCACTATTGACCCTGTGGAACTACAGAAGATCATCAATACCTATTTCAAAAACTTCTACTGTGATAGCCTTGATAACACAGAAGAAACGGACAGATTCCTAGAAATATATGAAGTATATTTGAAGAAATATATGAAGTATATATGAAGCTGGGCCAGAAAGATGTATAACTGCGGAATAAACCAGTTTCAACTAATGAAACTGAAAATATAATTAAATCCTTACCAACAAAGAAAAGCCGAGATCCAGATGGATTCACTGCAGAATTCTACAAGAAATTCAAAGAAGAATTGATGTCGACACTCCTCAAACTCTTCAGTGAAATTGAAAGGGAAGCAACTCTCTTTAACTGATTCCTGGAGGCAAATATCACTCCAATATGAAAACCTGAGTAAGACCCAACCAAAAGGAACTACAGGTCAATCTCCCTAATCAACATTGATGCAAAAGTTCTCAATAAAATATTGGCAAACAGAATACAGCAAAGCATTAAATAGATTATAAACCATGACCAACTGGGATTCATCTCAGGAATGCAAAAATGGTTTAATATGTGCAAATCAATAAATGTAATCCACCATATCAGTAGAGCAAAAAATGACATGATCATTTCTATAGTTGCAGAAAAACCTTTTGATAAGATTCAACACTTATTCATGATAAGAAACTTACAGAAAACTGAAATAGATGGTCTTGAGCTCAATATGATAAAAGCCATCTTTGACAAAGCAACAGTCAGCATCATATTTTTTTAATTTTTTTTTAATTTTAAAGAAATTAAGAGAAAAGAGGACATAACAAAGCAGATCAGGTCAGAACAATGCAAGTAACACAGTATTTTACCACAAGACAACCCATAATTAACAGTAACTACCATAATGTATCTTTCTCTGAAATAGTTAAGCATAGCTTCATATATGATAGTATCGAACATAACAAAACAGTATAAAGCCATTCAGGAGTGTGAAAGCATTACAGGGCTTTCAGAACCAAATATCAGAAAATGAACAATGGCTACTATATTATCTCATTTTCCATGGAAAATTTGTTTATACTGTCACACATAATAATATCTAATAAGATATAACAGGATATAACCAAAGGAAACAGAAAAACAAAAGCATAGTAGGACTTCAGAGTAAGATGATACTAAATAAGCATTGGCTATTCTAATGTCTTGTTTTCTTAAAAATAGCTGTTTACACTATCACAGAAAATAAAGTCAAACAAACTAGGATAAGACTATTCCAAATAATGAATGCAGACACCATAAGCCTTCCAGGCAATGTAATGGAGAATCATAATTACCGCAAATTCTTATGTACTCTTACCATTTCTTACACTAAGGAGAATATATGGTATTTCTACATGTGAGCTTGACTTATTTCACTTATAAGTACGGTCACAAGTTGTGGCCATTTATTTATATCTCAATGTGATCATCCTTTATAGCTTAGTAGTACTCTGTTGTATGAAAATACCACAACTTTTTTTATCCATTCCTCAGTTGATGGACACATAGGTTGTTTCCAAGATATGGATATTACAAACTGTACTGCTATAAATATGGGTGTACATATATCATTGTGGTGTGATGTTTTCGGTTCTTCTGGGAATATGCCTAGAAGTGGAATAGCTGGAACAAATGGGACCTCCAATCCCAGCTT